AAACATGCACAAGGAGAGCTTTTTAAGTCAGCATATACAAAGTCCTACAAGAGAGGGGGTGGTGTTGGATCTAATTTTAGAGAATGAAGCCAGTCAAGTGAGAGATGTAGCAGTGGGGGAACATTTTGGGGAAAATGAAATTCGAGGTAATTATGGATCAGGACAAAGATGTACTGGAAATAAAAAAAAGTTCTAAATTGGGTGAAGGGTGATTTTTTTTAAGACACAAAAAAGGATCTGGCCAAAGTGGACTAGCAGGAAACTCACTTTTTGGATGCAGCAGTGGTGGAGCAGCCTTAATAACAAGAGGATTGGAGTGCATGAACAGGGATGTCTGGCTGCAGTTTTATAGGGTCTTGGTCAGACCACACCTGGGAGAATTGTGTGCAGTTGTGGTCTCCCTATCTGAGGAAGGATGTTATGTCTAAAGAGGAAGTGCAACAAAGATTTGCCAGACTGATTCCTGGGATGGCAAGTATAACGGAGACTCGATCAGTTAGGACTATTTCACTGAAGTTTAGATGAATGAGGGGTGATCTCAGAAACCAACAAAATTCTAACAGGAAGTATATGCCTGGTGACCAAGAGTCCAGAAACAGTGTCACAGTCTAAGGATATAGGACAGACAATTTATGACTGAGACGAGTAGAAATTTCTTTGCCTAGAGAGTGGTGAACCTGTGGAATTCTCTGCCACAGAAAGCAGTTGAGGCCAAAACACTGAAGGTCTTCAATGAGATAGATGTAGTTCTTAGAGTTAAAAAGGGATAAAAGGGTATGGGTCAAAAGCAGGAAAAGGGTATGGAGTAGGATAAACATACATGATCATACAGAATGGCAGCGCAGTCTTGGAGGGCTGAATAGCTGACTTCTCTTATTTCCTATGTTCGTCCTGCCAAAATGCATCACCTCACATTAATTACATTTGCTACTGTTCAACCCATCTGACCAGTTACGCATTTTAGCTTGATTAAAATTACCAGCATATTAACATGAAGTTCAACACATAATTTCCATGTTTTCACACTTGGTCGGGGAAGAAAAATGCTTCACATACACATTTTGTGGCAATAGATGTCTGTCTTCATTGTGGGGGTGTCTCCTTAATGTTATTGCCCTTTGAAAGGCAATGCACTGCATAGAAAGGTGATCACCCCACCCCCACACACAATGAAATGCTTACCTCACCCACTTCATTATGGTGCAGCCATTTACATAGCTATTGCACACTGCTTTTTGGATTGTGATGAAAGGAAATAGCAGTTGCGCTCAGTGAGTCACACAGTCAGCCTCTCCATTTAAATGATCCCCATAATCATCATGTTCGCTCTTGGTTGTGTGCCCCATCATGCCCATCAGGCTATGATCTTCTCCATATTATCAATTAATTAGTTTATTTAACTTACATTCCCACAACTTAATCCCCAGCAGGTGGGAGAACAGCAAACTGCTGATCAGCAAGGTAAGATTAACTAATAATGAGATATTATGCAAGCAAATAAGCTTCTCACCGCTCACTAGCGAGATTCTTGACTTGCCACTCAACACACACAGCTGGAAATTGGACTTTTTTGTTATAGACATTGAGAATCCCATTACTATCAATCTCGCCTGATTTTTCCCAACATTTTCACCAATGTTCAGATTATTCAGGGGTTAGGAGATTGCACTTAGTGTATTCGAGAGAGTTTGCTCAGGCCATTTCCAAATTACAAAAGTGGCTACATTTCAAAGAGAGATATCCAGTGGGGATGAAAAGTACTATATAAATACATATTTTCTTCTTTTCATACGGCTATATAACAGAGTGAGTGTATCCCATTGGAGAGGGAAAATTTATGGGAGCTTAATCATTGTTTCCAGGAGGTGCCGGCATAGTATCAGCAATCATTTGGACAAATTTCAAGCCAAAATATAGATTTTGCTACAAAGTAAACAAATCTAACTTTTTTAAAAAAACTGAGAAGTTGCTATTATGGATTCAGATACAAATTCAGTACATAATTAAGCTAAAGGAAGTGTCAATATTTGCAGGTATCTTGCAAGCAAAATCTAGGTGTCAGCAGTTCTAACAGATATCAAATAAAATTAAAAAAATTCAAGATAGTCTCTCAATAAAGCTACCAGGATAACACAGTTTACAACTTGCAGAAAAGAGATCCATTGTCCTGGCCAGTCATTATTTTCTGCAAACTTAACCTCAACTACTATCCTTATTCTAACCTAACCAAGTTCTACTTATACATCACGAGCAATGGTTGCCAGTCTCTTGATGCCTTGATCTCTTCATGGTTTTACTCTTCTCCATTGTTTTAATGCCTCCAGCTCTCCAACTGCTCGGTGTTCCTTCAACCCTGCCATCTTGTGCAACTCACAGGCTCTTACCCGGTATTATGGCTGCTATGCTTTCAGATCCTATTGTCCAAAGAATAAGAATACCTCCCTAAATCTCTCTGCTTTCCTGTAGCTCCTTGGCCAAGCTTATCGTCACTTCTTTCCACATTTCCTTTTTTGGCTCACTGACAGTTTTTATCTAATTATGCTCTTTTCCAACATCCTGGAAGATTTTGTACAGTTGAAACACTTTATAAATTTCACATCTATGTCGGTAACAAGGTCCTGTATCACCTACTTTCAATCTGCTATGCATATTTCCTGAAATGTAATTTGCAAATACTTAGAATAAAGAAATTGAATTACTTTCATTGTCTATGTCTAGTTACAGGGATGCTAGTTTTTCTTTTAAAAAAATAGAGTGTTTAACTAGTTGTGCATTTTCAAACCTTTCCTTAATTTTTCAGCGATATCCAAAAACCAGCCATTTCCGTATTTACCTATGCTGTCATTTTAAACAGCACAATCTGGAAAAATTACAAAAATTAAAATACATTTGCTTACCTGAATGGCTGTGACGGAGATCTTGAATGAATTTTCATATCATCTAACCTTTAAAGTAATAATTATTAATAAATACAATGCATATCATTAAAATAAAACTTATTAATGCTTTATGCTTATTATTCTAAATTGTAATCTCAAATTCAGATTCATATTTAATTAGCATTGTTATTGCAATTAAGAAAATGACAGATGCTCATCATCCATCTCTGACAAATCACAAATATATTAGTTTAACTGTTGAGAATACAGACAAAGAATTCTTCGATAATGTAATGCACACAGTAGTGGCATTTGAAGAAACATTAACAAACATATTAGGATAGCTAATTACATCATTTCAAGTTCAGTAGTGCTTCCTTATGCAAAGTCGAACAATTATTTCCAAAAAATGTGCAAACCTACTTCAGGGAACAGGAAAAACTAAAAGCTTTTTTTTTAAATTTGTAACAAGGTGTTCATTTCAATATGCAGCAGCTCTTTAACAAAGGCAATAATAGTCAATAGTATGCATGTACATACTGTTTCCTTGAATTAGATGATATTTAAGTAGCTGTATATTTGTTTTATGTGAAAGACTGCTACATTGTATAGGAAAATAGCATGAAAAAAAATGTGCTTTTTAGCCAGGAGGTACTAATGCTTTTAATTATATTAAGCACTAAAAAGTATCAAAACACTTTGAAAACAGACCCAAATGGTCAGGTTATTCCTGTTATCTTAAATCATTTTATTTTAGTTATTCTTGTAGTAAAACCACCTGAAATCGGTTATTAGGCTGATGAATTATCTAAGCATTCATTTTTAATATTGAGTTCACAAGCATGATCAATCTGATAAATAGCATGCAAGTTTTATCCACGACCATTATTCTTATCCGCATCACATCGATTGGAATCTTCATACACGTACAAAACAATCCTCCTTCATTATGGACAAACTGCTGTCATGTCTAGCATGGTTTCGATGTACTGATCGTGATGTCCTTTACTCAAATGGCGATCCTGCATGTGCAATTTTCTATACAGGGCACCAGCAACTTAGCTGGCCACACTGCAAATGGTTGTTATGCTGTCTCTTTCCAGGAATGGGCAGTAGAGAAACAGAACTAGAAACTTCCCTTGGATCAAGGGAAAAGTCCCAAAATGCAACTGGTTGAAATCAAATAACTCACCACAGTTGAACGAAAATCTTTTATTCTGTGGAGTCCAGTATCACTTAAACATGAAAGAAATCTTCTTGGTGATTTTACATTGGTGCTTATTTATTTTGGATCATAAATAAGCATCATTGTGCTGATTCCTCTAATGTATCCAAGTTAGAAATGTATACCAATGGAAATTTTGTTCTAATATGTTATACTGTCAAAATATAGGACATGCTTTTAGTTAAGTGAACAAAAAGAAGCCAGTGCACAGATGTCACACATACATTTAAAAGATAATGGATTTCTTCTGGTACTATTTAGGGATTCAAAACAGACAACATGGTTGATTCTTAGTTATCTGCAGACAAAATTATTGTTGGGCAAGTAACTAAAAGATAAAAATGTGTAGAGTATGAGTTACTGCAAATAATAATAAAGATAAATGCATATTAATCAGGATGTATAAATAGCAGTTTATTCGATCAGTGTCAATGGAGGTGTTGTAGAAGGGTATTATAAGTGCAAATAGTTCAAATCTAAATGAAGTTTAATTGCATGTGTAAATATTGCAAAACCATCTAAAATACCAAAACGATTAACTTTTTTTCTAGGTGGGGAAAGGAGAGATGGATGTGTCCTTTGAGCAATAATTTACAAGAACCTGAATGCTACAAATGATTGAATCAGAGATAGTAGGAACTGCAGATGCTGGAGAATCCGAGACAACAAGGTGCAGGGCTGGATGAACACAGCAGGCCAAGCAGCATCA